ATAGCGCAGTCTCGACAACAGCAACACCGCGCGCTTCTAATATCGAATCACTAGATAGACGAAGGTGAAGTGAGAACACAAGGTGATGATCGAACTTGTGTGTGTTTCGGAGACACAGCATACATCTGAATGGAAAGTTTCAAGGGTTCTAGATAGGCAGCCTGTTGAGCAATCCAACGGTGTGCAGACGTTTAATATGGCTAAGTGAAAGGGAGATTTTAGTTTCAAAAATTTGGTTGCTTCTGAGTGGTTGAGTGGTGGTGGTGGGTGGTAGGTGAACGGTGAGTGGCGTCCCATAAGTGACGCAAACAGGATGCATCTCCTAAGATGCGGTAGTGAGAGGACAAAATGGACAGTTGAGAGCAAGGATTTTCCAAATAGGTCCCTATTAATTTGGGGCACACACCGACGGATGGTTTTCTCTTTGACAGCCCTGACAGGAGCCTTTGAATCGAAAATCTGACCCAAAAGGCAGTGAGGAGTAAATTCTACGCTGACGCGTGACCAAAGCACCCGTATCAGAGCTTCTCGAAACCTGTCGTGCGAGGTGTTTGGTAAATAGGCTATTCTCATCTAAAACTAGCTTATTTTTGAGTATTTTTAAGAAGTTAAATTTTCTTGGCTCCATTTCGGCCCTAATTGTCTACCTTTAGCTGGCGGCCGCTATCTGGTCAATTCGTAAATCTTCCCATTTTGTATCTATGTCCCGAAACCAGAACAGTATAGAAGCAGACCAAGTGACAGTTTAATCTTGCGTTTGTTGCTCATTGTCTCATCGTCGTGTCGCAGCGTTTACAGATAGCTCGGTTGGCATTTGTCAACTTGAGACATTTGTGGCGCCGTCGTGACCCGGTTTTCTGTGAAGGGTCGAGTATATGCTGTAGCAGTACCGTCAGTCCTGCGCTACGGTGCAGAAACTTGGCCATTATGGGAACAGGATAAACATAGACCGTCGTTGTTCGAACACCATGGTCTAAGCAGTATTGCACGAGTCTGGTGGGGTAACCGGCTGGGCAATGCTGAGGTTAGGCCTAGAGTTTTGGGTAATCGCGGCCGTTCACTGGAACAGGTAGTCGACCTCCATAGATTACGCTGGTTGGGACATGTGCAACGTATGTCACCAGATAGGTTGCCACGGCGAGCGATCCTTGGCGAGGGAGGTAGCGGTTGGAAAAAAAGCAAGGGTGGACAAACTAAGACCTGGCATGGGAGTATGAAAACCCTGACCAGGAGAGTGGCTCACATAGGTCCCGTTAGGCTCCCTGGATGGGGACCCAGAGATCATGGTCACCGGTGGTTAGAGACACTGAGCGATATGGCTGGGCGTCGCAAATAGTGACGCTCATGCATCTAATCATTATTCTTGTAACTTCAGTCTATGAAAATGTGCTACCATTCGCTTGGATCTGCTCTCAACATTTTAATCATCATTCTGCTATTTTATCCAAATGGGCAACCAAAAGACAGCAACTTAAACCGGCGCACGAAAGTGTATGGTTAATGGTTGTAAGAACTGAACTGAACTGAACTCGGTGAGTTTCCAATCTGTGTTCTCATCTGTTGTCAGTAGTGAATGCTACTACCATTGTGTTGTGCTGTACTCCATCGGCTCCCCTTCGGACACACTGTGTTTCACGCCGTTCCTGTGTTACAGCGTCAGTGTGTCATCCTTGATGTTACTTGTGAGTGTCCGTGAAAGACACAACACCAGGCCTCCGAATTTCGATTCAGAGTGTTGTTTGCTGGTGCGTTCATTATCGGTCCGGTGTTCGAGATCGGACCTTAGTCTCAGGTACCCAATGAATCAAGCGGAACTTGGACGGGACAGTACCTTATTGGCTGGAGGCTGTCCAGCTAGTGTGGGCGGTGGCCATGTAGTGAAGTGCGAAGACTTCTCCCATCGTCAGGAGGAAGCCGAAGATACCCCACTCCTACGCCCATCTAGCGGGGATTTTTGAAATGTAAACTGTCCCTCACCGTGTTTACTTGCTAGAGTGACCGCTCCGGGGGCCAGGGGATAATCGAAGGAAGCCAGGAGGTGCCCAAGCAAGCCATCACACTATGCCAAGGTGCAGTCTCGTCGTGATGGGAGCACAAAAGATGGATCTCGTCTACTTCTAAAATTCCTAAGCATGATAAATATGACTCTACAGACAAAACATTTGAATGCCAGCTCAACAAAAGCAAATAGAGCCAAAGACGGCTGTGGCATTTATCTTATATTTAGCAACTCTTGCTTTGAAGAAACATTCACTGTCAATATTACCAGTCCTAATTCTGAAGTGAAGGCGAACCTGGAAAAAAAACGTTAGAAGTTGTAATGCATTTAGTCCGGATTGTTCTCCCCCACCGATTTACGGATGGAGATCCGGTCTTGGTCTTGGGGGGTGACGAAACCTCGGGGTTCAATATGAGAAACCTATTGAATTCGAGTTAAATGGTTTTATTCGGTCATTATACCGAGTTGCTACAAGGAACATTGATCCTATTATGGAACTCACAGAGAAATCAATGTACCCCACATCATCTCAAGGCTTCGCATTGGTATTGGATTCAGGCGACTGTTTAATGTACGTAAAAGGTGTACGCGTGAGAACCAGGTTGGTTTTACGTCGGATCGGGGTTACACCGACCATGAGTAGACTCACATGTCCCTATGTTCCTCCATTTAAATGCGACCTTCGACTCAGTGGACCGCTTTATACTTTGACTGAGCACTTCCCATAATGTGTCAGAAGGGTTTGCAAGAATAGTACAATCCTTGTACACTAATAGACACTGAAGACATTTCAGCCGACAGCTGTTTCTTATTCGAGGCTACAGTTTTTCCCCATTCAGGCTCACCACTGAATGCGTGGTTTGTTGGGGTTTGTCTCTCATTTTCTCATTACCTCCGGATTTGATTCCTGAAAGACTTGCGTTCTCGAGCGAGGGTATCGGGCACCGATGTGCCCTAGGTGAGAAGTTATCTAACGAGTATACCAACGACATTAAACTTCTTAGTGAAAAAAACAAGTACGTTAAAGGCTTTCTGGATGGGTTGAGTGGTAGTGCATCTGCATTTCACATGCGTTTCGTAACCTCAAATTGTGCAAAATGTCTTCAGAATTAGACTGGTCGGGTTCCCAACCTGCCGCACATTAGATAGGGGATCGATAGAGAAAGCCGAGACTTTATGCTGTTCGTGCAGCTGCATTTCACATGTTGGTCGCACCTCGCATTCTACATCGGCGTTCACGGCCGCCCTCTGGTGTCGGAGGAACATTCGGTTGTCTGTGATTAACAGTCGAGTGTTCACTGCAGCATTTCGATCAGTGCTTCTGCAGGCTTATTACTATGGGAACAAAATAAATATAGACTAGGGGTTCAGAACATCTGTCTGCGCCGCATCGCACAGGTCTGATAGAGCAACAGCAAGTATAAAGGTGAAGCGCAGAATTTCAGTTAATCGCGATCTCCTACTGAAGCAGGTTGTCAACCCCCGAAGATAATCTTGGCTGTGGCAAGCGTTTCGCCTGTTACCTGGTACGGTTCGAAGATGGGAAGGATGGGTTTCCAAATGGGTACTTAGGACTTTAGGGCACGGCATACTTTGCGGCNTTTGCGGCAGCCAACACCGACGAAAAGGGTTTTCTTTGGGAACCCTAACCGAAGCCTTTGACCCAAAATTCTGACCGTCAAGGCAGCGGGGCGTAAATCCAACGCGGGAGGGTGAACAGAGCACCAGTGTGGGAGCTCCTAGAGACCTGTCACGCAAGGCCTTTGAATTTCGATTAATTGTGTTATTCCCTGGTGCGTTGATTGTCGGTCCACTTTTCGGGATCGGCCCTTAGGGTTAATGGAAATGAATTATTGTTTTAGGCATGTAGTGAGTGACCAAATGGCAAGTGGTGTGGTCAAACAATAACTTGCCACGAGTATGAAAGCTGTGACTAGAGGACTCAATCACTTAGGCAATGTTCACCTTCTTGGTCGGATACCTTGGGATGGGTTGGATCGATGGTTAGAGATATTGAGTGACACAAATGCAACTACTCAACTATGTTGCAACCACAGTTTACCTGATCACTCCACCTTCATTTCCAGTTCTCTCCTCTATTCCTGTATCCAATCGGGCAGTCGTGAGACAGTAATCGAAAACGCGGAGTGAAAGAGTAAGACTAATGGTTGTATAAACCAAAAACCGAAAAAAGGAAGACCTTGTGCAAGCAGTGGTCTAATACCCTTCCACTCCGTGTTAAAGGCGGTGTTAGGTACAAGCGGTAAGCGGAAAGCATTGGCATTTTCGATGCACTCCTCTGGTGAACAATCCAATAAGGCTTGGTATAAGGCTGACAAAAGGTGTGCAAGCAGTTCCGAAATAAAGATTCGAAAAAGTATCTATCTTTGTGAGGGATGACGTGTGTATTGTGGCGTTATTGTAGGTAATTTATCCAATCTATAGGTATTACTTCCGTTCACTGGTGAGTCTAGAATACGTGACTTAGTGCCTACGGCGAGGTCGCTCGAATTCGAAGCAGACTCAAGGAAACCGGCCACCGCATATTCTTGTATTTTGAAAACTCCGTAAGTCCAAGTGTCTGTTTCAAACGCTATGTTGGAATCGCTATTCTAAGCTTTACTGGAACTCGTGGAAAATCCGAAATTTTCAATGGGTTAGAGAAAACCGACGTTCCTTGGATAGCTCGGAACCGCGGTTTTCTGAATTCAGGTGGTCATATCAGTATCACATACTGTAATGCGCATCCATCCGAACACCAACATCCTCCCACTGCGCAACTGTCAAAAACAACAAACGCCAAGTGATATTGGACGTGACCGAAAGAAAATAAACTAGAGGTGACCGGCTAAGACAGAATATCACTCATCCCGGTCCTTCATACCCTACTTATAACAAAAATTGAAAATCCGCCTCGGTGACGAATTCGCTCATTTAAGACATATATATATAAGGTGAGAAGTTTAAGCGAACCCAACAAGACTCTACAAACGTAAGAGGGCTAATCCGGAACAGTGTGCTTGACTGTCATTTCTGAGGTGGTTATAAAGAAGAAATTCACAACCAGAAGTCTACCAGGTTGAATTCCTCTTACGATGAATGAGAGAGAGAGGAATAACACGTAGCTGAACAGAAATATAAGTAGAGCCAAAAATGCCAACTAACCGCTTACCCAAACAGCCCAATCGCGTTACCGTTGTGGTTCTTCCATCTTCAGACAGACGAACAATTTCAACTGTGTCTAACAAATCATCTGCTTGGGCGAACAATTCACGCTCCAAATCAGCATCTAGTTCCGAGTCCGCGGATACAATCACCTCGTCTTCACTGCCACCTGGTCCCACTGAAGGGCTTGAAATTGACCCAGAAACACGACTCGTGCCCCCCGTGCTGGTAGTTGTTGCTCTCATCTCGGATGCAAGTAGTTCATGTCGTGTAGACCTGGAAACAACACTCGAAACAGCATCATCACAGCAAACACCACTATTATTGTCCAACGTCACAGTGGAGAGTGTTACGCTCCGAGCAAATCCATCGGCAATGGATCGATTCATCAAGCTCTGGATTTCTCGTATCATTAGTTGCGCAGTCATAGATCCGGTATCATCATGTAACTGCAGTTAGATGAAGGAATAAAATCAAACACAGACGATGGAAAAGAATGAGCGACCGGAATCACCATCAAGTATACTCCTTTGACCGGTGGTAACGATCATAAGGAGCAGTAATTCGTTATTGATGAAAACTTCGTGAGGAGTAAAAATAGATGACATTCACAATAATGGGATCTTTTGTTCTATCTTTTCTCGTAGCACCTATCCAGACCGAGCCAAAAGTGGTTGAATGTAAGCTGCCACACGTCGCATAACTAGGTGATAGGCATGCGATTTGTGGATTGGTCACCTTCACTCGGCAAAATGACCAATCAAGATCGAGTATTCATGTAAACGACCATGTTCCCAAGGTCACGTTGACAGTGAAGATATTCAACCGACTACTTATTATGATGAAGGTAGTCGAAGTACAAAACGACAGAAAATTCAAATGAAATAAGCAATGAACAGATTTGTAAAAGACACCAGAAAAGAGAAACTAGGGTGATAGTAAATAACTCTTTGAAAACGTTTTTTACAAGCGAAGTCCGGGACAATTGCACTAAAATGATACAACCCAAATCATACAAGTAACCAGCATATTTTCCCACATCTAGCATAATTGGATACAGATAAGAAACGCGAATGAAATTATGCAGTTGTACACGCCTGAGCCTGTGTATAGTACACAGTCTTCGATGGATGATTGTAATTGAGTGTTTTCAAGCTTCGCCAT